TTTGATCATCACATGGTATGAATATCTTTCCATGTAATAAATAACTTTCTCCTACATAATTTTTAATGCCTGCAATGCATCCTATTGAATGGATGTAACATAATTTATCTTTGTTATTACTAACAATATTGTGATGAATAAACCTGTTTGAGCAGCTGTTTACTTCTGTGGGATAAACTTGAATTAGTGAAATTACTAAATCAATAGGAAATTTTTCAGGCTTTTAATATATAATGCCAAATTGCCTTCTAGATGTGTTACACCAAATTTATGTCCCATTAACATGAGTATTTAATATTGTTTTTGACCTTTGTTAAATTTTTAAAAGGTGAAGAATCACATACATCATGTTTTACTTTGAGTTTCTTTTAATTAGTAGTAAAGTTCACCAATTTTCATATGTGGCATCAGCCTCCAAGATTACTCCCAATTGTTCTCACCTCATTCATGGTATTTACACTCTTGGGTAATCCTGTCCCACAGTGTATCAGGGCTGATCTCTGTGACCAGTAGAGTTCAGCAGATCATCTATCAGTTCTGACACTAAGTTACCAAAGATAAATTTGGTTTGTGTAAGTCACACGTCCTTTGTGGTTTGTAGCTTAATATATGCTCAACTGTATGAAAAAGTTGTGGAAGGCTAAACTTCTCTCTTGGATCATTTCTGACTCTATTCTGCCCTCATTGTGAACTGCTTTTATCAGAGAATGAGCTGCCATGCTGTGAGGAACAAAATGAGAACTGAGGACTTCCAGCCACAGCTAGTGGAATGGTGAGCCTTCCAGGCAACATGCATGTGAGTAGGGTGAGCAACCATCCTGGGACTTTGGGGTCAGCTAGGACACTAGACCGTCACTACTAAAAGCGGTGAAGTCCCAGGCAAACCGAGATGAGCGGGTCACCCCACATGTGAGTGCACCATCTTGGAAGCAGGTCATTCAGACCTACTCAAGTCTTCAGATGGCTGCAGCTCAAGCCAGTATCTACATGTGCTCCTCTATGAAAGACTCTGAGTCAGCATCACACAGCTAAGCCTCTCCCATATTTCTAATCATCAGGAACTGTGTGAGATCATAAGTATTTCTTGTTTTAAGCTGCTAAGCTTAGGGATAATCTTGTTTCACATAAATAACAAATGGATTTTATCGTAAAAATATTTATAAGTATTTACTATATGCTAACGGTAACAGTTTTACCATTTGGGAAGAGATTATCTAATAAATGGTGTAGGAAAAATTGGTTAGCCATGTGGGGGAAAAATAAAAGCTGTACCACAAAATGATCACCAGATACATTTATGATATCCTAAAAAAGGAACAGGAGATACAGATGTGTATTGATGGAAGCTCACTCTTGCTCAGTGGCCTTGGCCTCCAACACACACTTCCTGTCACCCCTGCCTTGTCATTTTTCAGGTTTTGGTGGAAACACTTACTCAGGCCAGCTGTTCATGATCTTCTCCACCCCCAGGTAAAGGGCACCTGGCATATTTTTCATAGCTACTTCACCCTGGCCACCTTCTTGTACTTACAAATTACGTTGTACTTTTAATGCTGTCTTCCCAGGCAGGCTGTAAGGTTCCCAAAGTCAGAGGTCTTATTTATCTTGTTTATCCTTATATGCTGAGTTGCTTGTTATTATTTAGTACCTGTATTGGAGGCATTTTCTCTTACCTCACTTCCTAGTTCTCTGACATTTAAAAAAAATATTCAGCACAGCCTTTGCTCCCTGGAGGGCTCTTGTTTGGCTTCCACTGTTTTGCCTGCAGGGTCTAGATGCACAGTCCCCCATGTTCTACCACCAAGGACTGCACCAGTTTCCTCTACCTCCTGGGCCAGGGCTTACTGGGCATTTTAGAGTTCGTGTAACCTAAAGGGAAACCACGAGCTGAAGCATGGCCAAGCCACTGATGACTGCACTTCGTGACATCCACAGATGCTGCAGGTTGGAAAACATTCAGAAACCAGGTGTGCTTCCCTTCATAATGGAAGGGAAGGACATCGCTAGTTTACAGGGATATCATGTGATTTCATCATTTTCATTTTCTTACAGGTAGTGAGAAGGTTTGATGACTGCTAGCAAGACATCATGTTAGACCAGATGAGTGGAAATTAATTTTTAATTCTCTTCAAAGCCACTCTCCTCTCCAGTAACTCATTTGTTCTCCTTATAGTCTTAGTGCCTGGAAATGTATAAGTAAAACAAGAAGCAAAACCAACCAGAAAATAATCTAAAGTCCAAATAGCAATTTATATGACTAGCCGTCATACTTGTGGAAAGGCTCAGTATGCATTTAATACTATAAAGCCAACCTAAATCAGATTCCTGGGATTATGACACACTCAACAAATCACTGAGCCATCCTAGGTGCTAGGTGCCAATCTGGACAGTGGGGACAGTAGGAATGAGGCCAATGAAATTCTCGGTCTTCAGAAAAGAGTTTCTTCTAGTTGGAGAAGATATCCATTACACAAACAGATGATGTCAAGAAGCATAATCAGGTCCAGAGATTTAGCTCAGTGGTGCTGCCACCTGTCTTGCAAGCGCAAGGTCGAGTTTGTTCCCCCCAGTACCAAAATAAAAAGAACAAGAAGCACAATCAGCTACATTTCATTATCTGTGTGAGCTGTGGTAGTAAAGTCCTAGATCCCAGTGACTTACGACCGCAAACATCTACTTCTTGCTCATCTAATATGAAGATGACAGAATGCCTTCTGGCTTATGAGCAAGAAATAACCTGCTAGTGTAATTTGGGACATACTATACTCTGGATCTATCACCAACGGCAGCCTAGCATATCTTAATCCATCATGATACCTCCAAGAATACCTTACCTGGCAGATTTACAGAACTTTAACAAGGGGAAAACTGGGGGTGGGGGTGGGGGTGGACATATTCATAATTTCCTATTCCCGACCCTAGTCTAGCTCATCAGATAACAGTGATGCAAATAACTAAAAAATGCATCAAAGCTTGATTAGGACAATTAATGCTAAGGCCATCATCTTACAGAGTAAACTACCAAGGTGAAAACCTGGATTTTAGGATGTATGGAAATTCAGCTGGTAGTGACATCACTTAGGGTAATATTGATTTTAGTGGGCTCTTCTGGCAGGGAAAGATTTGTGAACACACGAAACAGAGTATACTGGCAAATGTGAATCACAAGGGACCTTATGGGAAAAAGAATGAAAAAAAAAGGAAATACATGCCCTTGCCTGAAAAGCAAAAATACCTAGTGGGATAATGACTGGAATAACTGAACTGAGAGGGTGGTGTTAACTTTGAAACAACCAGGTGCTGTGCTTGGAGAAATTCATCAGGTGCCAGGGGTGAAGAGGCACCTCTGGAGAGGGTACAAATTGCTCCTCCTAGAAAAGCACTCTCAGAGACCATGTTTTGAAACATTTGTATTTGCATTCAACAGGATGGCAGAACTGCCACACTGCAATTTATTCTAGTATCTGCTTCTCTAATTCTTTGTGACGCTTTCAACAGGATTCCTGATAGTATTACTGATGAAGAAATGTTTTATGTTTTACACCGTATTGTTTTACATCCATTACTTCTGCCCGTTTCCTTTTTTGTAACCACATCAGGAAGAACAGGTGTTTGTCAGTGCTAAAAAGCTAACTGCTAATATTAAGAAATCTCTAGGAAGGTATCTAAGTGTTTATCATTAATTAGTACTGAAATTCTGAAAAACAGTGAAGTGGAAAGGGCCCTTCTCTGTATGTCCTGTCTATACCACAGCCTGCCTCACTTGCTGGATCAGCCCCACAGGGACTGAGTATCTCCTACCATCAAGCTGTAGAAAGAGCCCCAGAAATTTAAACCTATTTCATTTACTCAGCCAGTTTCAAATACAGTGGAAGCTATGGAAGGGTCCATAGCTGTGAAAAAGCATTGTTTTTATTTCTCCTAATTACACTGTTAATAGTTGAAGTTTCAATTTCAAATATTGCAGAAACGCATGGCATTCTTATGCTTCCAGAGGCCTGGGTTTAAGTTTGGGAAATATCACTTTAGAATACAGACTATTACAAGACATTAAGATGATGAGAAATCACACAGCCAAAAAACCAAAGCAAATGCTGGATGTGTCTGGAATGTCTAAGAGCTCAAGTTGCAGAATTCTGCTAGACGGGGTCAAAGATGGACAAAGGAAGGGCTGAGAGGCAAAGCTAGAGGTCAGATCATTTTAAAAGGCTGAAAAATTCACAGGATGGGAAATACGAGTCTCTGGATTAAAATTTCACAAACTGGTCAGGAAAGGAAAGGGGTGCCAACTCACTCAAGTCTCATACCACTTGACAGCCCCAGCCCAGCCCATTCAGCATCATCTCTGGAGCCTCAGTCAGGGGCCCTCTGTCTCCAGTGACACTGCCACATGACACCCTGCTGGGATGCAGCACCAGTGAGAGTGTCTGCCGTCCTTGGTGGGTGAGTGTGGAGGCTGGATAATAGGGCTACTTGGGCATCACCTGGATACTCCAAGGGGCCACCCCTATGAAAGCTGGTCATCTAAAAGCAGAGGGAACAATGGGTGTATCGAGAAGCCTTCTTGCCCCAGTGGTAGGAAAGCAGCCAGACTTGCCAGGCAGACATAGCAGCCGAGATGGGATGAGGTGGGGTAAGGGGGAGCACTGGCATTTTCTAGCATAATCCAAAATATTATCACATAATCCAAAATATTGTCAGCAACAAAGGTTTTGAGCACAAATAAAACTCACTGACTCAATTTCTTTAATTATCTTGTGAGCTCTCTAGGGTATCCTTTAAGACTATTGCCCTTTGTGCTTATGTATCTATTTACTAATGGAATCAGAACATGTTTTAAAACTCAAGAATTGGAACTCAAGAATTGGAACAACATTTACTAGAGTGGCTCTTTTTTAAGTTTAACAAATTCATTCATTAATTTAATATGATGAAATCAAGTGAAATAAAATCTGAGGCTTTGGCATTAATTATTGAATTTATCTAATTTTATTTTTAAAATTGGAAAGAGTGAAACAGTATTTCAAAACACCTGAGAAATAGTACAGCATCTTCACATAAACAATTTGAAAGAAGACCAAGTTTAAGTTAGAATGTCATTTTATATAATGGATAACATAAATTAAGTCATCCCTTAAACCACATGTATCCAGTAAATAGTTGCACTTGTATATAAAGAACATTTGGTTTTCTTGCACCTGGTGAACGTTCTATTGTTATTTATAACAAACGGCTGATACTATTAGCAACAGTTTTCATAGCTTGTATTGTTCCAAAAGTTAAACAATGTAATAAATAATAACGATATATTTCTCTTAAAATTTTTAAATTATGAAATATAGCTCATAACAATAAGTTAGAACTAATGTATCTTCCAAAGTTTAAAAGGATAAATGGCTCAGAACTAGGCAAGTTAGGAACACTATAGAACAGAGATCTTCCTTATATGGAAATCAATCTAGAGATTGTTTCTCATTCCCTGAAGAGTTAAGTTGAAAGGTACCAGGGATGGCAAGTGATGCATATATATTTTTTAAAGTATAAAAACACCTCAGTAAGAAAAAGTTCCTCATTACCTCTGTTAACAGTGCAAAGTGCCATTTTAAATTCAAAAAGTAAAGATTTACTTGCATGTATACTTGTTTTAGAATGAAATGTAAATATGAAACAGTACATATATGAGGAATAAACATATACAATAAAAACATATCTTTTAAAAACTGGGATATACATATCCTAATAGAACGATGTGAACAATGAATTCTTATTTGAATGCCCAATTAAACTAAAATATGGAAACGTCAAAATAATAGGTATTTCTCGGAACAAATTATAATAAGACTCCATCCAGACTACTCTTGCAGTATATTTCTTGCATGGAATGGTCATTCCATATATCCTACAGTTTATCTCAAAACTGGTAAGAACATTTGATGAAGCTTTATAAATGGTTTTCTCCACTAAATTTGAACAAATAAAACTATACAAAGAAGTAATAGAGAGGCAAATAATTTACATGCCTATTGCTTTTGTGGAAATTGGTAGAACACGAACAGTACATTACAGTATCAGAATATCTGAGAAAGATATGATAGCTACAGATTTAACTTTAAATTCTCTTCTGAGGTAAAATTCTCTTGGATTTAATTATAGAAGTTTTCAATCCCTGGTACTTCCTCTCCCAAATCAAAAATTTTTGGTTTTGTTTTGTTTTGCTGCTTGAAATATATATTTTTTGCATGAAATATATTTGTAAACTGTACATAAAAAATAATAAAAACAGAGATGGAATGAACGTCCAGTTTGAATATGTTAATGTTAACATGTTAAATGGCTTTTCAAGAAGTAGACTTAACTATAACATAGTTTTGCAATTCTGGATGTAACATTTTTAGAGGAACTGTCAGCAAAACAAAAACTAAGGACAAGAAAATGAATTGGTAAGCTCAATTTACATTTCTGAAAACACCTTGGTTTTCTTTAAGCTTTTCAATGTAGTGGCATAGCTTCAGGGCTGGCCCCAGCTTCAAACCCATATACTTAATGATTATGTCATTATTGAGCAGCATCAGGGCTTTCCCATCAATTTCCTACAGAAAGAAAGCAGTTATAATTAATAATACTTTCACATTTGATCACAGTGCTATTTCTTTACAAGAACGTGTAAAACAACTAGAAAGCTCATTGCAAATGTGTAGTCTCTGAATATGCATCTACTTTATAAAAACTATTAAAATATAATCTTAACAGTGAAACATTTGATACTTTATAAATACACTTCAAATTTTAAGAAAAAATTTAATATTTAAAAATGAATTATGTCAAGATACGCAATTTTAAAAACTGGATGTTGAATAAAATAGTATAAAAGAGCATATTTAGTATACTAGGTACATGGACATCCATTTAAAGAACCGACCATTAACTTACTATTGAGGGATCTAACACTGGACAAAATAACCTTTCTTACAAATGGAAAAATTAGTTGGTACGGTTCCCCCACCATCCACACAACACAGTACCTAACAGAAAGGCCTGCACAGAGGCCATCCAAAGTCATTATGGCAGCAGGAAAACCAGATCAAAAGATACATTACCTGTGTCCTCAGGAGCCAGGTGAGGGAGCCTGATATCTGAGGATCTGTATGGTTCAGAAACTGGATCACATCTTCCACAGACCAGTTTAAAGGGTTTTCAGGGAAGGTGTGTTTCACAGTATCAGTTTTAGATTCAATTGGAGAACTTGTAGCTTGAGTGGGGAGAAAAAAACCAAATTATATTTGACCTGATCATTATCTTGAAAGAAGAAATGCTAGATAGGAAGTAATAGTCTCAGCCCTAGAACCTTCTCTTAAGTATCCAAGCAAGGACTTAAAATTCTACCTGTAAAATTTAAAGAAAACCTATATAAAGGTGATCTGGGGAGAGCAGCATTAAGAACATCCCATCTTGGGCCGGGGATTTAGCTCAGTGGTTTCATCACCTGCTGTGCAAGCGCAAGGACCCAAGTTCAATCCCCGGTACCAAAAAAAACAAGAACATCCCATCCGACCTCCTGCAAACAGCAGAGGTAGGTTCAGAAGTTTCCTTAAAACTTCAAAGATCACAAAAATAACCCTACCAAAAAAAATAAAATTACTTCACAGTCTAAGGCCTTTTTGTCTTCAGGAAAACACAGCAAAAGACCTGTTATTTGGGTTAAATTAGGTTAATCTAACCTAACCCATTACTCTGTTAAGTTTGCTTCAATGAATTTCTCTAGGTTTCTTCTCTCCCTTCTCCAAAATAAATTAGGTTTATTTTGCTAGCTAAATACAATGGAAAACCACCCAAATTTACTGTTCTATAATTGCTTACATTTGTCCCTTTGTTTTTTATTTGTTTTGCTGCTGCTGTGTGTTGGGGATGGAACTCAGTACTTTGTGAGTGCTAGGATGCTAGGCCCTAAATTTGTTCACTTTAATAACAAATTTCAATGACCCCATTAACTTGGGAGAACCAAACTGATTCTTTCCCCAAATCTTTCCCATGCATTCAATTTGGATATTTTTAGCACCACTTTTACTCTTTAAATCCCCATCTTTCATGGCTTACACGTTGTTCTGAATGTAGAAGAAAACAAGATTATTTTCTGCTGAACTAAGTCGAAAGTAACTTTAACATTTAAAAAATTTCTCTTTCACGTTTAATTGCATAGTAATAGATGTTCTGATTGAAGGTTTATATTTTTTAATAAACAACTGAGGTATGAAATAATTAGACCTCAACAGGTTTTAGCCATGCTGTTCATTGTCAGTTGTGCTGACATTTCTTTGTGTCCTGACAAGTATTCATTCACTCAAGGAGAAAGCTGGACTCCCCAAAGTTAGTGTGTGAGGATAACAGAAGGAGGTTTTATTATTCACTAGAACCTAGTAATATCAACACAAATTATCCTCTTTTGTATGAATTAATTAAAGGCATAGCATTTCTTTCCTATTATCTGGTATGTGGGCATTTCAGGGGTGTTTAGAATTATTTATCCAGGGAAAAGGGTAAAGAAAAATAGCAGATTAAAAACACTCCAAGGGGGCATTATAGATATCAGTGGAGAAGAGCCATATTAGTTGATCAATACAGTGCCTTGCACATAATGTACAATCAATAAATGTTAGTCATTATAAATGTCACCTAAAACCAGCCCTCAAAATAGGAAACAAACAACTTGCACTAGTTTGTAAGAAAGACGTTGATGAATACAAGTTAAATAGTGTTATTTATAACATGTGTCACTCCAAACTCACCAAAATCAGCTGAGTATTGGAAAGATGTTCTAGGATGCTTACTCTCCGGGCACCCAGAAGAGCTGCTCATGTCCAAGTTACGTTTCAGGCCGGAATATCTCTGGGTCAGAGTTGGTGAATGTGATATTGTGGAAATTTCTGTAGGCGACATGCTGTTGCTGTCAGGATACCTGGGGCTGGCAGGCATATCAGGATATCTCACACATGTACAGTGAGTACGGCCACAGCACTGGTTAGGAACTGGTGAACCACCACAGACTGGCTCCTCCTCCTGCAGGGGTTCCTGCTCGATTTCCTGTGATTCTTCATAATCCAAAAATGGCATCATATTTTCCTCACCACTATCTTCTGGTCTGCGAACTGGTGAACTTGGGCTATAACTTTCAGAGTGAGAAAATGAAGTGAAATGCTCTATTCTCTCCATTTCCTCGGCTTCAGCTCTTTCCAAATCTGAGAAGCTCTGTCTTGTGAGTTGCTTCTAAAGTGACACAGGCCCAGCATAGATCAACAAGTGAATAAAAAAGGAAATGAGTAGTCAGTACATTATGATTTATATTCTATGCAACACTGCTCTACATTATTAAATGCTCTTTTGATTTGAAGATTAATGTTTATTCCCCTTCAGCCTTACATCTTAATTGTATTTTATTTATTTTAGGCACAAACATAAAAATACTCATTTGTCATATATTTACCAAACCGAAACTTCAGTATTCTTCCAACAGTTTCAGTGCTCTGTCTGCTCCTACAGTAAGAGTATATCAGCCTTGCTAGTTTCACAGTTCTGTATCAGTTCCAGCTGACTGGCATCTTTAGAAAACAGACTTATCATAGTTATGAGAATATTTTAATACTACTTACAGGAGAGTCCCAACCGTGTTTCACTTGTGAATGTTGAATTTCTGACACCTTTCTATCAATAGCATCACACTTCTTATCTAGCAGTTGAATGGCATCATATATGACCTATTATAGTGAAAGGTATTATTAGTTCCTATGTCAAAAGAAAAGTAACATGTCAGAATGCCATTAAGCCCAATTTCAACCGCAAGGCACAATGAAAGTTCTCGAGGCACCAGAAACAACTTCTTTCCTACTTGAGGCCTAGGTGTAGGTGACACAGAGCCCACCTGGCTGAGACGAGGATCCTGGACCTGCCGCTATCCTACTCCATCCAACTCACGGGGACACTGGAAGGAGGAAGCAAAGGCATCACAGCCCCTCTACGCCATCCCATTTATGATGCGGCCATTTCACATCAAGGAAGGTGCTATTTCAGGAAAGAAATGTTCAAATCTGCTAAAAGGTCAAAGAGTGACCTTCCACACAATGACTTATGAACTAACAGTGAATTTTCTGCTCTGGAAAGAACATGGAGCCAAATATAACAGATGTGACTTCTGGCTTCAATGTTTTTTACAATCATTCAGTCAACAAACTTACAAAACTGAGTATAGGACCCCTACATGCCCTTCATGAAAAAAATCTGAGAATTCTTGAAATACACAGACAACTCAAAAAGAGAAAAATAAAATTTCACTTTAACATTTTCAAAAGCCACGTTAAAAAGACAGAATTTTCATACCTGACATTGGCTAATGACCACCAGAAATTGTCTTGGTTCTTCAGTGTGGGGTATGTTCGGTTGAAATTGTTCCTGCTGTAATATATTAAAAGTAGTTAATGCAAGGCCGGGGATTTAGCTCAGTGGTTTCGCCGCCTGCTGCGCAAGCGCAAGGACCCGAGTTTGATCCCCGGTACAAAAAAAAAAAAAAAAGTAGTTAATGCTTTACTTCTGTAAGAGACATACTGAGTACTAGGGGAGAAAAAACACTTTATATTTATCTGTTTAAATTACTGTTATTTTTCACCAACCTTTCAAAAATTTTAATCTAAAGCAGAGATAAAATAAAAATTCACACTATTATAAGGATGGAAATAATAATTACCAATTAAGAAAAGAGGCAAGGAAATAATTGATTTTTTAAAAGAATCTAGTTTTATATTTCCAGTACAAAACTGCTCTAAATTTCCTACTACATAAGAAAACGGGGGAAGTAAAACAGTTAGGAGCTCATTGTCTAATCAAAGAAAGCATACAAATTCAGTAGGGAGAAAGTGTGAGTATTTTCTTAAGTATGAGTTTAGAGGAACTCCACAGTATACAAAGAATTTAAAACTTTTCCTTTAAAATGGTAAAGTTGAATAGCAATTGATATTAGTTACAGGATTCACAGATGGAGAATCCTCTGGACAGTCAACAGGAATACTGCTCTCTTCACCACTACCACCACTAAGACCATCACCAAGATCACCACCAGGATCATCACAAGTAGCAGTTGGAGTCTTTGCCTGAGGAAAATTTAACAAAAAGAAAGATCAAAGACAGAACTAAAAGAAAAGGTGAGGAGTTTAATTTCACTTTCAAGAAGCTGCAGAGGCCTATTTGCGTTATCAAAGGCCCTTTGCTCATTTTAAGTACTATGACTACATAATGAATATACTTGCAAAACTATGTTCTCATTAACCCTTCTACACTGAGCTTAACCCCTCATGTACTTAGGGTAGAAAGACTAGTCTTCTACACTAAAACTGTTTTAAAAGCAAATATTTCTGGACATGAACAAAAGCATAAATGGTATATGGCTTTTGATTTTTAGATAATCCAATAGTGCCACTCTGTGGACAATATAGGAAACACTTAAGCACTTATTTTTCTTGATAAATTAATTTTTAAATCACCTTAAAACATTTTTGGGAAAAGATAGGATATAAATAACCATTAAATTTCAGTATAGTAAGTTCATTCTAAGAATCAATTATGAATTCTAGGAATAATTTAAAGATAAACACACCTGGATCACTTCTTGACCTTTTGGCTAAGATCAAGTGAAGATAAACACGCTTGGTAGCTATGTATGTCTGCTTCAAACTACATGAAAGAAATTACCTGGCATTGAGCTACACATTATTACTTTTTAAAAAATACCACCTTACACTTGTATGGTGCCTTGTGCTTTTCAAAGTGCTTTCACATAATTACATCAAAAGTGACTCTTGGTAGGTAGTTAACATTACCTCCAAAGATGAAAAACACCAGGTGGCATTAAGACTAAATGTGTTTTATGGTGAGCCACATTTACATAGTTTAGTAATCTATATTTTGGCCCACAACAAATAGAAACATAGCAGAATGCAACAAATATGCAAAAACAGCACAACCACTTTGAAAAAGTATTTGGCAGATTCCCATTAAATTAAATTTACATCAGTTCTACGATCTAACAATTCAACTTCAATTTACTCAAAAGAAATGTTAAGTATGTGTTCACAAAGATACTTGAACCCCAACATTCACAGTTTTATATCTCATTATCAAAGTTCATAAAACTTCACTTATGATCTATGCATTTCACTGTAATTACTCAATTTAGAAAAGAACTATATAGCATTATAAAAAAACCACACATTTTTTATTTAATATACAAACCACATTGACCTCATTGGAGGTGGTACACATTGTGCACCAGGAGAAATTCCACTTCCTCTGAGTTGAGCCTAATTATCTGTAAAGTTGCTGCTTATTTGTGAAACTGCTTAGTCACCTAAGAGCGACAAGCCTTCTACTCCTGAAAAGCAATACATAAATGTTACTTCACACTTAGCACCTAAATAACCTTAATATGGATATGCTTTCAGAATGACACCTCAAATTGAATTAGAATTTTGGTTGGATTTTGGAGAGTTACAAAATAAGAATTCTTCCATTAGCAATTTACTTTAGGGGGGGCTGGATACTGGGGATCACACCCAAACATGTGGCCTTAGTAGGACAGTCAAGCAATCTACATACTACTGAGCTACAATCCCAGCCCCTCCATGAGCAATTCTGAATGTCATTCTTTTTTTTTTTTCTTTTTGGTACTGGGGATCAAACCAAGAGCCTTGCAAATGCTACAAGTGCTCTACCATGGAGCTACATTCCCCAGCACTAGAACAAGCTGAAGGGCTACACCAACCATGAATAGGAATAAAAATCAAAGTTAAATGCAGTTCCAAATTGTGAAATGAATGTTTTACAACTTAGTCTACTGAGTAAATGCTGGAGACAACTGAGCAAGAAAACATGATTGCTAATCACTTCTATAAAGAGACTCAAAAGGGCTTTTCACTCAGGCAGTGCCTCCAAAATGTACACCGGTGATCTGTGCTAGATTGGGCCCTGGCAAAGCATGGAGCAGAGATCCTGGGAGACATCACCTCTGCACCTGTGGTGCAAATCCATTCAGTGTAGCTCTCCACTTCATTTCAATTGCCTTATTAATTAGACTTAAGGTTAAACGGATCTAACCTAAATAAACTGGTGTGACATATAAGCCTGAAAATCTAGACTTCTGAAGGTTCAGTTGTGGTTGAGTCACGTAATTATGGAGCGAACTAGAACAAGACACGGACTACGACAATATCATATTCTATCTTGTACTCCAGATTTGGTTTGAACACCTGCCTCACAGTTACTGGGAGGAGCACCTTAAGGAAAAAATGAATTCACTTTATCCATCCTGACTCATAGCAGCAATGAGAGGCACAGCTAAGGGATTCAAGTTTCATCTCTTTTCCTGCTTCTCCTTCCTTTCACAGAGGAGGTACTGATCACCAAAGGCCCAAAGGACAGAAATCAAAAGGGGATGAAGGAGGAGGGAGAGTTCACTCCCAAGTCATACAAATGCAGACCAATGCTGTATAAAAACTTCAAGTTACAAAACATCTCCAATTTGAGTTGTAATTTCTACCAAATTGTACTTTTTAAAACAGAGATTTTTTTTTCTGATTCAGACTTACACAAGCAATGAGTCATTAGACCATGGTGTATCCATACAACTGAAGACTAACAGCAATGAGAATAAACCAACTACTGCTGCCCCCAGCAAGAATAAACTTCACTAGGCAAACCAGGAATAAAGGTCAAAACCAGGCAAACCAGGCAGGAGAAGTTTCAAACACCTTTAAATATACCACAGTCACTCTGACAAATTCTTAGTATCCCAGCTTGTAAATACCCTATGATTTATTTAACTAGTCCCCAAATTCCGAATTTAGTTACTCTAAAGTTTTGCTCTTTTACAGAACACTGAAAAACAAGCTTGCAGTGGTGCAAATAGTTTTATGGAATAGATTCAAACATTGGGTCTGTGAAGTAGAAACAATAGTATCTGAAAGTTTTCCCCTAGCTCTTCCCCACTAAAAAGGGCTGTTGGAGTCAGTCCACAACACACTAAATATTCTCCTGGTCGTGCAGTTTTAAACCAGAACAAATAATAGATAGTACCAAATGGCTTTTTTGGCATCAGATGATTAAATTTCTTTTCTCTTTTGATCTACTGTTGCAACACATTAATACATTTCTTGACATTCTTAGGGTGAGAGATGCAGCCAATTACAGAGAAAAAGCATTCAATTTGTTGGTATTTTATTTAGAAATTGGTTGTATCTCTAAGATCTTACACTGGTAAGTCTGTACATTTCTTACAAGCAATGAGCCAATATTGGTAAATTTTTATAAACTCTTGGTATCAAAACTGCTCTGCAAAATTAATTGGGAAGCCTTCCATCTTTCTCTACAAAAAGTTTACATCTCACCAGAATTTCTGTGCCTTAAAGGTTTGAAAGAGCTTAAAAAAAAAAAAACATCTGGGTGGAGATTTTATAACATTTTCTAAATTCTTCCATGGTTACTGATCTACTCAAATTATTCTACTTTTTCTTGAATTGTTTTGACAAATTACTTTTATCCAGAAGGATGGTAATTTCATCATAATTACAGAATTGCTAACAAAACCACAGTTTAAAAATCATTATTTCTAACTTAATTTGGATTTTCTTTTTTTAAATTAGATATTCTATCTCACCAATTTACTGACAACTCTATGAGATAGGTTCTATTATCTCCACTTTCTGTATGAGAAAACTGAGCCAAAGAATACTTATGCAATTCATCTAACCCCCATAACTAGTGCTGCAGTCCACCTCCATACTCAACGATCTTTTTTGCTCTATTATTAAAATCACTGGGAATCCCTTCCATGACAATTACACAATAAATTCCACACTTCTACCATGCCTTGCAAAGTCCTTAAGGACTCTGCCCACCTCTCACAGGTCACCTCTTACCACTTGCCTCCTTGCTCTTACCCCAAAATATTTACTATTTGGCCTGCTGTAGACAAAGTGTGGCTACTACCACCCTAAGGTTACAGTCAGACAATTCGCAATTTGGATTAATTACAGTGCTGCCAACACTTGGTCACAGATAAACACAGGAGCAGTGTGCATTGAGCCTGTCACTGTCCTTCTGACATTTTTCCTTCTGTGGCACATTTACAAAGCAACACTGATCTTGCACTTTGAGTTTCTAGCTCCTGTCATATCCTAAGCTGTCTCTTCACCTATGAGAATCTATTCAGCTTCAAGACTTCATTCAAGTTCTACCTCCAAAAAGCAAAAGTGCTATGTTAACAATCACCCTATCTAGATGGGACACTGACTTTCCCATGACGAGAACATTTACACTTTAATACTTTTAAGGCGACTATTGTACATGTCTAGTTACATAAGAGGCAGTATCAAACAGCATTAAGCCTTTAGGTTTGTGACAAGAATACCTGGGTTTGGATCCCACCTCCCCCATTTACTAGCTGTGTCACTTCAGACAACTTAAATTGTTTCCATTTTTAAAAGTCTGTACAATAGGGATAAAATCATGTAAACCTCATAAGGTGACAAAGATTAAACAAATTAATAAATCAAATGTTTAAAATAATGCCTGACAGAGAGAGCAAGGGCACCCACTGTGGGCCAACTATTATTTTAGTATTCACCACATCTACCCAAAAGGACCACTACTTAAAGCACATAAAAACTTTTCAGAGTCATCATATGTATGCAATGTGGATTCACACTGTACCTGTACATTGCAGATACAACAACTCCTTCTTGTAAAATAATTGTTACGAGGGCAAGATGCTGGGCTTTAGTGAGAAATACATGAATTCAAATCCAAATGGCAAAATTTGTCATTTCACATTAGGCAGACATCTAACCTTTCTGTGCCTCAATTATTTTAACCTGTAAAACTGGAATAATGTTTACTTCACTGAGCTGTGTAAGACTAAATGACAAGTTAAGCACCCACATCATGCCTGATTAATGGCAAGCACATCATAAAATTTAGCTCCTTTTCATTTCTTTCCATAAGGTACAAGGTTATAGCTTTTAAAACATTATCTTAGAGCTCAATATGACTAGATTGTGCAAAATAAATTTCAATCTTTGAATCCAAAATCCTGCCAAAGTGCGTTTATTTAAAACAAAACTCATATTTCACCATAAACTCTAAACGTGTAACAATGCAAGAAAAGAAACTATCGGATTTTTTAAAAGACCTTTTTAAAGACGTTAAAGACAGTCTCAAAAGTCATGTGAAGATTCACCCCCGACCCCATGCAAGGCGTTCAACTTGCCATTAATTTATCCAATAAAGCATAGCTCACAATGAGGGCTGAAAACACAGCAACACCCTAGGACCTCTTCGAGAAATCCAAGGCAACTTATTACTACAGCCAAACGGTTCCAATTTGTAAGGAAACAGAACCGGGGGTTAACATGGGGTTAACACGAACAACCAGCCACCTTCTAAAGCTTCTGCCCAGACTCTCATTCAAAGTCGGACGAGTGCGGGATAAAGCAGTCCAATTCCATCCCGCCGCCTGGCAGTAGTGCTCGCCTCCCCGCTTTCCAGTACCCGCACATTTTCCAGTGTTTCCTGACCCCAGCAGCTCTCCGTGCGCGGCAACGTCTCCAAAACACCCCTACATCTTTATTTTCTTTTTCCTCATCAGTATATTTACACTAAAACAGCGAGTCTACATAGCCTTTGAACAAACGCGAACGCCACCAAAACCACAAAAGTGTACGTTTCCCATCTCAAAAGACACAGTCTGAAGTAACTCTCAAGTGTGTCACATCTTTAAACTCAAACCGCCACGAAAGTCTGAGAGGCGGGGTCTTTCCTCACCCCCACCTGCCTCTGCCACCGAAGAAAAGGCTGGAAAATGAGCGACTCCGCCCAGAAGTCAGCGCCAAGCCCTTCACAGGTGGTCAGGCTTCCTGGCGCCTCCAATCATCACATTCCCCAGGAGAACGCACCCGCGCCTCCAATCACATTCCCCAGGAGAACCCAGCCGCGACGCCAAACCGCTTCTCCAGGCTGTGCTCCGCAGCCGGTACGCGCACGCCCACCCGGAACGGGAAAAACCAGTTGGAGAAGTGCAAAAAATAACTTGCACTTACGTTTTCTGGTCCAGAGCCTGCCGCGACAGCCTCCGCCAGACGCGGAGAAAACTACCGGCCGTGGGTTCGGACCGGTTGAACCTTTGCAACGGTCAGTCTGCCGGAAACCGCGCCTGATTTCGCGACACGTGAACGACGCGAACTCCAATGGTGCGCTGACCGTAGAGCGCCGCGCTCTGGAGTTCTCCCTCGCGCGGCTGGGGGCGGGGGCGGGGGCGGTCCTGAGGACTGGCGGCTGCCCACAGACTCGCCGCTTTCAATCTGTCAATCCTATGGGCCTCTTAATGGCCTTGAGAAGGGGAGCGTTGCTAGGGACACAGCGGCGGGGAGGGGCTTGTTGCCCACTGAGAGGCAGCAACACTGGCCTCCTACTGTCACAGCTGGGCATCAGACCCCGGGGTTAGCTGAGACCAGCCAGATCAGAACGAGGCTGTAGAGCAGCGAGGCCCGAGCCCCTCCTGGAGGAGAGAAGTGACTGCGGCTGCTCTGCAGTTCCCGCGCATTTACAACTCATGGCTACAACTCTTCTAGGGGGACAGCCCGCAAGAGTGAGGCGCGTGACCTCCCATTTTCGTTGTTTGATTGTTTATTGGTATTTACATGCAACGGTGCCCCTTCCCCCTCGCCTTGTGGCCGAGATGTCCATGTTGACTGGTTCCAGGGGTGCACATCGTGCTTAAATTTGAATGGATGAGGTGCCTGGCCTTAGCAGTTGCCTGTGCTTGGTCTGGTATGAACCTGGGGCGTTATTTCTACTCTTCAACAAGCACAAGTGGGAATGGAGAGCTGACACAGATCCTGGACAGTGTTTGCTGATTTTGAACCCCAGCGGCAACACTTAGTTGCTCTTCGGGTTTGGACAAGCCAAGTAACCACCCTGTCGTGTTGTGTTTGCCTGTGAGATGGACACAATAGTGAGAATAGACGAGTTAGCATAGGAAAACACTTAGAACTAGCACAGGAGTCTGCTTTAGGTAATACAGACTGTGCGGCACACTGTCTTACATATATCAAAGGCTGCCCATTTGGGGAAGGAGGCACAGTCTGAAGACTTACCAAAGTCAAAGCAGGCAAAGGTTTCAAAGTAAAGCCATAAATCTTTTCCTGGCCCAGAAAGGATCTACAGTGAATGTAGTTTGGACGTTGGAATTCATTTTTCCTCTCAAATAGGAAAGGAGATTAGTGCCCATTATAGATACTATATATTTTATTCCAATTTTTGCCATAAAGAATCCCCTTTTGTGTGCAGTTGCCTATAAAATACTTTGTGAAACCCCATGAATACAATTACATAACAATAGAGACCAGTTGTTTAATTGCAGTCACGTTTATTTGCAGTTTCTATGCACACTTTCTAGGTAATCAAACTTTTCTGATACATTTTTGAGAGGGGTTCACAATGAAACTGTCACCGTTTTTACTAAAAATAAATACAAGACTTAAAGCGTTGCACAGCTCTAAAATATACAAAGGCTTGGATTGCATGTAAACGTTGAAAACATCTTACAAAAGAAACCATCTTTGCAACGATTTAAAAAGTTCATATTTACAAATATTACAAAAATACAAAATGGATGCAAGTCCATAAACCACTGTCTTTTCGGCCAGCACGAACTGGTTCTCGTACCAAAATAGTTAACACTGTAACCTTTTTCATAGTTTTAAATCTTGTCACGATCTAGTTCTCTAAGTGCCACCACTGCAGCAAATGTACTTACTGACCTTTGGCAAGAGCAAACAGTATGTTTTGTTTGCTACAACTAGTCCATGTCCTCTACTTAGCCAAAACCAAAAGAACAAAACTCAAAGCAGATTTAAAGAGGAAAAAAAAGAAAAAATTTCCCCCACACAACATAACATGTTGTATAAACATAAGAGAACAAAAAATTAGCATCAGTGCAAACAGCAGAAAAAGTTTGGATTGGTGTTCTTTACAATACCTAATGTGTGTACCCAGCTTCACGCCAGCAGTGAAGTTAAGCCCTAAATCTTGGTCTTATTTGTTATGTAATAAAGCCATATAGAATATTCCAGATTATTAAGGAATTCCTTCCTTTTTTGCTCAGTTTGTTACTCAATACTATTCCACAGTGAATTTAAATTCATCTTTTATTTGGCTGGTTTTTTTTAATCTATGAAATATAAAATAGAGAAACTCTGCTATAGATTTTTAGAGTAAACAAAATAAGTAAAACTATATTATAAGGGTTAGTTCTGTGATCATTACTTATAGAAGGTATTTTATTGCCCCACAATTCAAGTCAATATGTATTTTAAAATATATATGGTACCATTACTTAAATTAATGTCAATAATAAAAAGGTGACATTTTTATTAAAGCCAATTCATGTGTTTTCTACTCAACATTTAGAATTACTTTTAAAGCCCACATACCTTTCTCCAAGCTTAAAAACCCCCTAACTACACAAAAGCCATACTGCAAACGAACTGCTTTTAGGAAAATTACAAAAGATCACCTATTGTGACTGGAAATGATGGTTTCTTACCGCATTTGTCTAAAAAATTTATTTTTAAAATTTTGCCACATGTACTTTTCAAAGCATGAGACAGATTTGTGCATGTCCCCATGTGGTGTCAAACCATGCTGGTTTTCTTAATTAATGTGTTCCAATGAGAAATGATGGTTCCTTGTTTTCAAATCCCAAATGATTTTTCTTTTAATAAAAAGTGTAACACTTGTAAATGTTCAAACCCTTTACCAGTAGTTTATCTATCCCCAACACACGTGCATTCTCTCTCTCTCTTTCTCTCTCTCTCTCTCTCTCTCCCCATCTTAATCTCCTCTTCTACCCCTCCACCCCCAGCACCCATTTTACATACAAGAATGACAAGAAATTAAGTAACACAACTCGGTAGTAGAAACAAATAGCCGAAGAAGCCAGACATTTTTTTTCTTTCCACACAAACAATACACCAACAGCAATCAGATTCTTAATTCTTAATGTGTAACATCTTAGAAAGCATTTCTATTAAAAAGACAGTATCTTCTTAGACCAGCTTTCTCCTTCATTTTGCACAAGTAAACCCCAAACTGCAAACCCTCTTTCACACATCCTACTTTCCAAATACCACTTGCATAGGCTTCAAGCCAGCTGCTTATCAATTTCTCGGTAACCCTGGTGTGTTCTATCATTCGAATTACATTCTAGTCTTTTATAGGTTATATCCCTTCTGAGTTCTCTCTACTTTTCTACCTCTCCCATTCAAGACCTATTCTAAGAACATAGCTGCTTATATTTCTGACATATGATTCTAAACATTAGTATCAGTTCATGTTAAAATCAGAGGTGTCAAAACCACTTGCAGATTTCAACTTGTAACTACACTATTTTTTTCAGTTTTAAGACAAGAAAATTCAAGTAATTTCAAGTAATTCAGCTTCTTTCCCTGCCTTCATTTTATCGGAGCATCTGCCCTGACATTTCCTTTCCCACCCTCTGCCCTCCCCATTTGCCATCGAGCAGATATAGTAAAACCAGACAAAAACTCAGTTGTATGTAGCATTGTGAACCAGAGCTGTTCCCTATTCCCAGTTTAATGGCGCATATAAATAATGCATATACACATGCCTATTTCCCAACTACATTGTTCACAGTGTCATTTCTGTTAATTTTTTAGGTAGCATGAATCTCATCAGCACAGAGAGAAAGGTTCACTGAAATACTTACTGATGAATCAATAGCTCTGTGGCATGCTTAGATTTTATTTTTGTTAGTTGAAGAACCTGGAGCTAATTGCTAAACTGTTTCAGGAGTCTAAAGGTTACAGTCATTAGATTATGACTGTTTATGTACCCAGTAGCCTAATATAAAACATAACCTAAAATTAACTACTGGTTTCCCTACTCATTCTCTTTTAAGCAATCCTTTGAAAAAATTAAAATCTAAAGGACACTGTCAAATGCTGTTTTTCAGGGCTTTGGGTTGAGAATTATGACTTGTCTTGATTAAAAAAAAATCAAAAGCATGCTTTTCATTCGGTCCAAGTTACCACATTGGCAAATCACAGCCACAAGTTGCTATTACTTTTTGTTTATGCTGTAATTTGTCACAAAAGTAAGTAGGTTTGAATTCATTATTTTAAAATTGATCACATTTCAGTATATGACCTCAAGATTTCCTTTATTTCAGCAGTTTTAAGTTCATATTTGAGGTTTATCACTTAGAAATATTGGTGGACATTTAAATACGGTATTTCATATGAAAATGGTATTCACAGAATACAATCATTACACTTTATTTCTGTGTTCTATAAACAGTTGGTGTGCAGTAGATAATGGGCCACATGTCCACTCATCATTGGTAAATCTACTTACACAGTTTTATCAAAAATACGGTATTTACATATGTGTAGTTCTTTCTTCTAAATTTTGCTTTAGTTCGTTTTAATGTAAAAAAATACCAAACCTCCAGAGTAATTTCATCTTCTTAAATAATCGTGACAGTGAGGGCTTTCTTTTCTGAATAGGCAGCTCTGGGAAAACCTTGTCTCGGTTTCACGAAAATTAGATATTTTTGTATCCTCTATTATCACAGGGAATGAGATTGGGTAACTCAAACTAAGCTTAAGAAGACCATGGGAGATGGTACAGCTACTTAAAACATGGCAACTAATCGAGAATGACTAAACCACCTTCTGTTTCCCCAGCATGTATTCAGAATCCCCTGCTAGGCAGTGATGCTACCCTCCCATCCCGTTGCGACTTCTCTGAGTCCCCTATGGTGTCCCTACATCCTCTCCTAACTAAGGGTTTGGGCGTTTGGCGGCAGCCGGGCACAGGCAGCCTAAGTGGAGCTCTGGGAGGAGCGGTCGTCGTGCGGGCTCCCGTCCGAGTTTTCCGTCTCGCCCTCGGAGATCGCCTGCATGGGCGTGCTGTACAAGCGGCACCGGACGCTGTAGCGGCTACTGCTGGCCACGGGGGGCGCCCGCGAACGTCCAACCCTTGCTGATGCTGAGGTGGCAAAG